GTAGGATAAATGAATTAATGCCAGCTATTGGTAGACAGTGTATGTCAGATATTGACAAACATTTACCCATATTACTAAGAGCTAATTATACCGTACTAAGAGGTGTTATTAGCTCTTGATATTACCTGAGTATCATGCAGCGGCAGTGCTCCTCCGCATGGCCAGCGTCAGCGATAGGTGCCCCACGAGTTCACGTCCTTCTTTGTCCGTTCTGTGCTGCACATCCCCCGCTCCACACACTGGTAGTTGTTCGCGGTACTTTCTCGTGCACTTTGTACGTGGCACGTTCTACATTGTTCGTCGGTAGTCGCACGTTGTACATTGTTTGTTCTTGTACGCTGTACATTGTTCGTTAAACGTTTCCCGTTCTAAATTGTCCGCTGTACATTGCACGCTCTACGTTGTTCGTTGCAAGTTCAGCGTTGTTCATTGTTTTTTTCTTGTTCTATTTTGTTCGTTGTACGTTGTACATCCTACATTGTTCGTTTTCCGTTCTATATTGTTTGATGTTCGTTACACGTTCTACATTGCTCGTTGTACGTTGCACGTGGTACATTGTTCGTTGTACGTTGCACGTACGTAGTACATTGTTCGGTGTACGTTGCACGTTCAACATTGTTCGCTGTACGTTGCACGTGCTACATTGTTCGATGAACACCGCACACATGCGCCTACGTCGTTTCAATAATAAAATTCTTGTAAATGAATACGAATTCAATTTGCTGCCAATGTTTTTGTTTTGTTTTGTTTTATATCGCTCAATAATTCTACTCGGTCGCTGTTCGTATACTTATTGACAGCACACAATGTCGCCACACGCGCGCCATTGTGCACACATACACAGGTACGTAATATATGCAATACAATTCCTATCTATTGTGTATTTGCGCAAGGCAGCATCATGGTAGAATGGGAGTAGGCCAACCGGGAATAAACCAGCATCATACATGCTAATCACTAACATCAGACCATACACGGATTCGTGTGTTCGATGGATGTGGTTCCATACTTGACCCATCTCTCCTAGAGTCTAAGATCTCCCACTGTGCGTATATAACAGATAACCTCTGTAAGGCATATGTCATACTGCGTATGTCATCTGCATTCCTCTACCGGTTACGTGTCCCTATTCTATATGGTTCACTCACACACTCTTGTGCATATGTCCGCCTCCCCACACTTGTCCCCACCCCAGTTCTGCATATCATCTGTCTTCTCGCTTCAAGCTTCGGTTCTAGTGTGTGTGTGTGTGTGTGTGTGTGTGTGTGTCCGTGCGTGTGTGTGTGTATTCTACGTTGCTCGATCTATCTCCTATCCTTCCATTTCATACATAGTCTCAACTCCATCTAGCCTCGCGACTTCTCCGTCTAGAATCTCTTCTCTTTCGGGGGTTTGCTCTCCTTCCTTACCAGATACTTGTCTTCCTATGTGTTAGACCTGTTCTCCTGTGGGTGACATATGTCCTTCTCCGTGTGTCACCTGTTCTCCATTGTGTGTCACCTGTCCTTTTATGAGTGTCACTTGTCCTCCTATGTGTGAGACCTCTCCTCCTGTGGGTGATACATGTCTTTCTCTGTGTGTCACCTGTCCTCCACTGTGTGTCATCTGTCCTTGTATTTGTGTCACTTGTCCCCCACTGTGTGACACCTGTCCTCCACTGTGTGACACATTTCCTCCTTTGTATGACACCTGTCCTTCACTGTGTGACATTTGTCCTGTTTCTGCTTCTGATATTTGTCCATCTACCTGAGCTAAATTTTCTCTGATGTGCGACGCGTGTATTGTTGCTGGTTCAACCCTCGCTCTGTATCTACCTAGAAGCTTCTTTATTGCCACACTAAACTCGTCATACTTCATGAAGTACATGATAGGGTTCAGAAGCATGTTCACGAAAACAGCTGCAACTCGTATATAGCGCAGTGCGTTGAGCGCCCGCGGGTGTGTTTCTACAATAGACGTCGCCAGAAACGTGTGTAAAATGTTGGGACTTATTAGTAGGATGGACACGCCAACGACAGTCAGGATGAGTTTGGCTGCTTTGAACGTTCCAGCGAGGCTGGACAGTTGTTGAAGCTGCGCTTGATTAGTTGCTGCGGCAACACGTCGGCTGTGGTCAATCATGATCCGACCTATAACGACGTACGCGTACGTCATGAAAAGTAACACGGCCGCGTAGTTGATAGCGACATACCAGCTCAGCCATTTATTGGTTATCATATCAACAACACAAAACATTCCGGGTCGCCATCTTGTGATCGCCTGAACCACGGCTATTGACCCGTACCCAGTTGTATACAGCCAGACGGACAACAACATAAATTTTGCTGCTCTAGGAGTCATCAGCTGGCTGTAGCGAAACGGATGGACGATAGCAATGTAGCGGTCCAACGTCGCAAGTCCAATCGTCAGCATTGATGCACCAATTGTGACGAAGGCGACAAAAACGAATATACCACAAGCTATCTTTGTCGCATGATACTCATGTACGAAAGCTCTGAGGGATACAGTTGCTCCAGCTGCGACCGCAAATAATGTATCGGCACATGCCAGATTAATGATGAAGTAGTTCCTTTGCGTTCTAAGAAAGTCGAACCTGACGTATACGACCATTATGAGAGCATTTAACACGAGGATAGTGATCGCAACCACAATCACGAACGCGCTATAAAGAAACCCGACATTAGCCTGCGAATTGTGAGAAGCTTGGATTTCACTGTTGGTGTGGTTTGTGATGTGATCTATAGTGCCGTTATCATCCAGGACAGTGTAATTACGTGGCTCCATGTTAACTGGCCGCAAGTTGTTCTCCTCTTCAGTTAGGCTTTGTAATAGTACGTGCGGAAAGCGTCACCTTAATTGTCACAGCGGTTGCTGCCGCTTAATTAATGCCGCATATCGTAGTCTGCATTACTTCTCCGTTGTCAGTTGTTATCTCACTCGGCTGTCTTTCGGTATCTTATCTCTCTCTCTCTCTCTCTCTCTCTCTCTCTCTCTCTCTCTCTCTCTCTCTCTCTCTCTCTCTCTCTCTCTCTCTCTCTCTGTTTCACACAATAATATATTTTGTGCTTTCATATTCGGTTTAACTTTGTCTTGTTCTTCTCTCGCCGTGCTTGCTACTATGAATCTCAGTCTACTACCATCGTCACTTCATCTACCATTGTAATTAGCTTCCCTTTGTTGTCTTGTATCTGTATTCTTTCGCTGGTGTTGGTAATCACCAACGTGCCGCTTCACTACTGCACAGTCACTTGCCCTGTCACTCTGTTTTACTCCACTGACTAAATCCTTCCTACGAGGTAGTGTTGCTCGAAAAAGTCACGTGGGTGATACATTGAATCATACGTCATTGCGTGATAGCAAAGGCGTGTGCGATGAATTAACAGCTAGCGATATTGTAAGATGCGGCTTATGGCAGCTATTGAATGAACGACGTTATTTGTGTGGGATTTGCGCGACACACAGGAAATGCATCTAACAAAAAACACCATTAGGCCAGACACAGAAAATTAAATTTAGAAGGTTTCAATCAACAAGTAACACGCTACAGAAACTATTGACGCACAATCTTGCGTAATCTGTTATAATATTAGTTCAGGTTTTGACGTTTATTCTCGTTGTAGTTTTTCATTGTGTTTGCATTGTCGCTTAACATAGTCATGATGCAGATTGTGCTACCGATTTTCTAGCAGCGTAACGCAATTGCCTTGATGGAAACTACATTGGCTTCTAAGCGATTACATTTTTTAAAGTTCGTAGTTCAGTAAATAAAGTCTGCATCATTTTTTAAGCTATGAAGTTGTAGCTGGCTTCTCTATATTTGTCAAGGCTGCATCTACGTTACACATCTAGTTCTTCCGCCTCTGTCACCGCTCGTTCGTTAGCTGCCACCCATCAATCTTCATCAGGCAAATATTTTGCTGCATTTGTCTCATGTCTTTCCGTGTCAGGCATCAGCTCTACAGCATCTGGCGCCGCTCCTGTCTCTTCCCAACTGCATGTGACGCCTGTCCGGCTCTGTATATTATCTCTACACCCCACTACGTCCCTTGTCCCTCTCGGTATGACGCATCTTCTTCTCTTCTTGACACCAGTCCTTCTTTGTATGACACATGTCTTTCACTGTTTGACACCTGTCCTACTCGGATTGTCATCTTTTCCCCCAGGTGTGACATCTGCCTTTCTCTCTGCGAAATTTCAGTTGCATCTGCTTCTGCTGCGTGTTCCACTGTGTGAGCTACACGTTCGCTTCCCTGCTGTGCGAGACGTGTGTTGGTCCAACAGTTGCTGTGTTCCTGCCAAGAAGCTTTCTTATTGCCACTTTGAACTCGTCATACTTCATGAAATACATGATAGGATTCAGGAGCATGTTCACGAAAATGGTTCCTTTGCGCATTAGGCGCAAAATAGCGAGCAGCTGCGAGTGTGTATTCCGTAAAGGCTCCGAAAGAACCATATGTAGAATGTGGGAACTAAGCAGCAAGAAAGACATGCCAACGACAGCCAGAATAAGTTTGGCTACTTTAAACGTTCCAGTAAGGCTGGACAGTTGTTGAAGTTGCGCTTGATCTGTTGCTGCGGCAACACGTTGGCTGTGGTCAATCATGATCCGACCTATAACGATGTAGGCGTACGTCATGAACAGCAACACGGCCACGTAGTTGGCAGACACATACCAGCTGAACTCCTTAGCGGTTTCCTTATCAATAAGACACAACTCTCCATGGCGCCAACGTGTAAATGCCTGAGCTCCTGCCACTAAACCGACCGCAGTTGTATACAGCCAGACGGATATCACCATGAGTTTCGCTGCTCTAGGAGTCATCAGCTGGTTGTAGCGAAACGGATGGACGATAGCTATGTAGCGGTCCAACGTCGCAAGTCCAATCGACAGCACCGAAACGCTAAATGTTACGCAGCCGACGAAAAACACCATGACGCATTGGATCTTTTGAGGAGCCGGGTTGAACTCATCGGCTAATATAGCTGTGCCAATCACCATCGCTGTTGTTATGTCAGCGCACGCCAAACTAATGATAAAGTAGTTCTTTTGCGTTCTAAGGAAGCCGAACCGTACGTATACGACGATTATAATAATATTTAAAATCGCTATTGTTATTGCAACAACAAATACGAACGAAGTAATTACACGTCCAACTACCGTAAATGTATTAGATTGCTGCTGCTGCTCACTGCCGAATATCACTGTAGTGTTCTCTACTGTTGTGAGATAATCCATGATGGAGTAATTAGACAGCTGCATGTTGAGCCTCTATACCAATCGTTCTTTGCACAGGTTGTGTATTCTTCCGCAGTTTGCTAGAGTTGTCACTTGCCGTACGGGGCGCCATGCAGGACAGGGCTCAATTTTGTCTATCAAAACTCAATTCTGTCTCACAAAACTCACTTTTGTGCACACAACTCAATTCTGTCTCACAAAAGTCAATTTTGTGAACACAAACTCAATTCTGTCAATCCTGCCACAAAACTCGATTTTGGTGAAACACAAAACTCAATTCTGTCAATCCTGTCCCACAAACTCAATTTTGTGAACACAAAACTGCAATTCTATCAATCCTGTCCCACAAAACTCAATTTTGTAAACACAAAACTCAATTCTGTCAATCCGGTCTTACAAAAACTCGATTGTTGCCCAAATATGGCACACGCATGTAAGAAGGGCTACCATTGGTCAGAAGAAACAAGATGGCGACCATGACACATTTCTCACCCCAGTTTCTGACCAATGGTAGCCCTTTTACATGCGTGTGCCATATTTGGGCAACAAAATCGAGTTTTGTGGAACCGGATTGACAGAATTGAGTTTTGGTTTACAAAATTGAGTTTTGAGGAACCGGATTGACAGAATGAGTTTTGCTGTTTTACAAATCGATGTTTTGTGGTACAGGATGAATAATTGAGTTTTGTGTTCACAAAATTGAGTTTTTGGCGCGACAGGATTGACAGAATGAGTCTTTTGTGCTTCCAAAATCATTTTTGTCAAGTTTATAGGTACAAAAATGCCTGTCCTGCATGGCGCCCCGTATGTCGACCTACCACGATATTTTTTCTTCCTCGTGTCTGTTCAGTCTGCAAGCGTTCTGCCGCTGACTGCTATGTCTAGATAGCTATCTCACAGCCTTGCATTCTGAGATCTGACCACGCTGGTTTCCGACGTTTTCTACCTATAACTCGGCGGGTTTACTTGGTCTCTCTCTATACGAGCCTGCGTTTTCCTGCTGTTTTGATTCATACATGCCTTCACAAGAGTTGAGGGAAAGCAAATATCGTTTTAGAGTATTTACGGGTTTCAGACAACATGTGTGAGAAAACTGATCTCACGTGCTTTTGCTCATGTACGCAACGACATGATTGATAGTAAGACACATTAAAATATGGATTTCATGTGATGAATGTACCTTTCCGGATAGCATCAGAAACCCAGCTGGCGATAACAATTAAATTAAACGAAATGACGATGTTCTTTGCTGTAACCCGCTTTCGTAATTCCTACACGCCCCTGGGCTCGGAGTAAATCTGAATCGAAAGTTACCTGTGCGGCCATGCTAAGAGTTTGCGCATGCCCAGGCAGTACCTGCGGGATGGAATTGTATATCAATAAAAATTTAAAGCGATTGAGTAATACTTGTTTATCACAACATGTCACTTTATAAATAATAAGCCTTGGCTTGTAGGCTACCCTTGACAGATTTGTTCTCACTACTGCATCTATCTATATAATAATTTGAGTAGTGTCGTTCTGTTTGTTCCTGCATAACTTCTAGGCGCGTGCACGAATCCGGCTGAAATTTTTCGTGCTTTATTCCTACGCATCAGGTTCGATTCTAACACTTTGCTTTTAGTTATTTATTGGGTTAAATGTTTAAAAAAAACATATTTAGGAAATCTAATGGAAAATCTGCCTGGAAAACTTGTACGATTTAGTTCACTTCCGCTAGATGCGCTGGCTGTAGACTTACAAACCAATTTTCTTTGTGGGATTATTCATAAACCAATATTTTACTAAAAGATTACTATGAATCGGGCCGGGATTTAGAGAAATCATCGATCGTAGTCTCTTCAGCGTAACGAGCGAATATGGCCGCCAGAGGCGGCCATTTCGCGAGTATTTATCATTTCATTGACATGCTCGTATTTTTCTGAGATACTGTGCTTGCGGGAACCCAGATTAGACCGTATATGCTACCATCCGCCAGTGGTTTATGTCATGTCTGATGTGATTCTTTATATATGTGATCAAGGCCTATCACAAGCTAGCACTTTAGAAATTACAAGTGGGGAGTAGGCCAACGCGGGAATAAACCAGGCATCGATACATGCTAATCACTTACATCAGACCATACACGGATTCATGTGTGCTTCGATGGATGTTGGTTCCATACTTGACCCATGTCTCTCCTAGAGTCTAAGATCTCCCACTGATTGCGTATATTAACAGGCATAACCTCTGTAAGGCATATGTCATACTGCGTGATGTCATCTGCATTCCTCTACCGGTTACGTGCTCCCTATCTCTATATGGTTCACTCACACACTCTTGCTGCATATGTCCGCTCCCCACACTTGTCACCCACCCCAGTTCTGCATATCATCTGTCTTCCTCGCTTTCAAGCTTTCGGTTCTACGTGTGTGTTGTGGTGGGGTGTGTGTGTTGTGTGCTGTGTGTGGAGACCTGTGTGAATCCCCCAGGCTAACACACCACTCGTGCTGTCGGCTGTGTGGGCGGCTAAGTGTGTATTCTACGTTGCTCGATCTATCTCCTATCC